GCTCAGGAATTATTCCTGGCAGTGCTCGGGGGAGCATATGTAATGCCTGGGATTGAATCTGGGTTGGCTATGTGCAAGGTAAAGAGCCCTACCCGCTGCACCATCTCTCTAGCCCAGGGTTGAATCTCTAAGGGCTATTTCAGGGTAGCATCTGTACTACTTACTGTAAAGCAAGTACTTCAGGGCAGGGTCTGTGTTACTGTGAGGTATATTAGGGTAGCATCTTGGTTCTATGAGGGTGTATTTCGGGGCAGTACCCATGTTACTATTAGTATTTCAGGGCAGGATTTGTGTTACAGTCAGGGGGTATTTCAGGGCAGGATCTGTGTAACTGTGAAAGAGTGTTTCTACAAGAGTCTGCATCACTGGTGTGTGTGTGTGTGTGTGTGTGTGTGTGTGTGTGTGTGTGTGTTTCAGGGCAGGCTCTGAGTTAGGATATTTGGAAGACTCCAGACTCTGTGTAGGATATTTGGAAGCAGGATCAGTGTTACTCTGAGGGAGCTGTTTCAGGGCAGGCTGTACGCTACTTTGATACTGGTATTGCAGTACAAAAGGTTGTTATTGTGATATATTTAAAAGCAGCATCTGTGTTGCTGTTATGAGGCTATTGGGCAGAGAATGAGTGTTACTGTACAGGGGTTACTATTTAGAGTATGAAATGTCCAAATGTGCAGAATCTTTGGAACTGTGAGGAGATATTGCAGGGCAGATTCAACGGGACGGATACTTCAGTGTGATACTAAGGGGTTACCTCGGGGCAGGATCTATTCCCATGAAAGGAGTATTTGCCAGCAGGATCTACAGTACTTTAAGGCAGGATCTGTGTTGATGTGAAATATATTCAGGACATGATCTGCATTACTATGATGGATATTTCAAAGCATCATCCCTGTCAAAGTAACTTTTTAAGGGGAGGATCTGTATTTCGGTGAGAAAGGGTATTTCTCACTATAGAGCAGTTTTAATTTCAGAGCAGTAACTTGTTACTCAAGCAGGTATATTTCAGGTACAAGATCTGTTACTGCCAGATAGGAGTTCAGGTCAGAGTGCATTGGTATTGTGTCACTGTTGCTGGGGAGATCTCTGATTTTATCTAAACTGTGATAGGCCACCAGGAGGTCACAAAGTTCAAGAGAAAAATCGCTCCTTGCCCAACCTCCTCCCCCTTCTCTCCCCCGTTACTAAATTGACCAGACATCTTCATTTTTAGGAAAGAAAGTGACTTGGGGGAAATTGACCAGAACTCTGCATTTTCTGTAAAGAAAATGATACAATACCTCCCCTCACGTGTTTCTTGCAATGGTGTTATCATGAAGGCTGGCACATACCTATTGCTGCATCTCCAAGTTTTCTCTGAGGAGAGCTCATAAAATTGGGTCCCAGACATGTTGTCGTAAGGCTGACATTGAGGCAGTGAGAGGCCAGGAGCAGGGTTGCGGGGTGGGGTGGGGGGAGGGGCGCACACAATTCCTAGATGTTTCCAGAAGCCCTGGGTTAAAAAGTCAGAAAGAATTCACAAGGGGCAGAATTTTGCAGTGAAATGGGGGAAAGATTGGACTCTTCGGGGGTGCTTTCATGGAAGTTTCTTTTGGGTGTGGTGGTGGTATAACCAGCAGTGCCAAGGGCTTACTCTGGGCTCTGTGCTCAGACATCACTCCTGGCAGGCTTCAGGGGATCATTCGTGGTGCTGGGAACTGAACCCAGGTGGTCTGCATGGGAGGCAAACTCCTTCCTCACTGTCCTATCTCTCTAGCCCAGGATGATTTCCTTGGACATAAAACATCTTTCCATTTTATGTTCCACCATTTTAAAGAGAACGGGTCGGTCACTCAGCAAAGATGAACTTTAGGAATGCCTACCACATGCCCGGGACGACGTTTTCATGGTTTGGGACTCCTTAAGGTCCTCACAAGTCACTAAAGGGGGAATCCCGGGTTAAATCCAAATTAGGGGCCGGAGTGATAGCACAGTGGGTAGGGCGTTGGCTTTGCACACGATCAACCCGGGTTCGATCCCCGGCCCCCCATATGGTTCCCCAAACACCGCCAGGAGTAATTCCTGAGCCAGGAGTAACCCCTGCGCATTGCCAGATGTGACCCAAAAAGAAAAAAAAATCGAAATCGGTGTGCCAACCAACCCAGAGGTGCCACACTGTTCCTGCCGCTGTGACCTCTGTTTCACCTCTGTCCCCGGGGTGAACTTGCTTACCCCAGTTTGGGGTGGGGTGAAGGGGAGGGAAATCAACCTGTCTACTGCGCCTCGAGCAAAACGACTGGGGCGAAGTCAGGGTGGTCACCACACCAGACTATAGCTATATTTGAAGGAGAAGAGGGCTTTCCCCTTCTTAGCCCGTTCTCCCTTCCCTTCAAGTAACACAGAATCGCCTTTCAGTCAAGCGAGTGGTGCCCTTTGGTGGTGTGGGGGGCGCATTTCTCTCTCAGGGAGCGGAGTTCTGAGGGGCTTGTGACCGACCCTTCCCTGAAGAGAACACCCCGAAGGACACGTGTGCACGTGGAACCCGGGTGTCCCGATCGATTGATCCACTTGAGGTCAGAAGGTCAGCCCCGTTTCTCCCTCCCACCCCTCCGTCGCCGCAGACGACGCCCCAACCTCTCGGTCACCTCCCCCGTGGGTAAAGTTACATTGTTTCTTTCTCCGTCTGGGCGCCGCGCGTCCCCATTGGCTGCCGCGGCGGGCGCCGCGCTGTGATTGGCTCCCGCCGGGGCGCTGAGGTGTGAGTTCTGTCTCCGGGGCCCAGTTCACACGCTGCCGGGCTCGAGGCTCCTCAGTGAAGCCGCCACACGCCGCCTGCCTGCCGGCCCGCCCGCCCGCTCGCGGTTGCTCCGTCACAGCCTGCTGGGTGCGGGGACACACCCGCGTCCAACTCTCCTCCGAGCGTGAGTATGTGCGTCCGCTTGCCCAGGGCCGGCGCTGCTGGGGACACCTGTCGTGTCCGGGGGGGTGGTGGGCACAGTGAGGGGTGCGGAGAGGCGGGGAAGGGGTGGGGGGGTGGGCATTTGGATCTCCCCCCCCCCTCCTCGGCCTTCTTCAGAGGTCACCGTCTGAGAAACGGGGGGTCCAGAGGAAAAGCTGCCCGCCCACCTCACCGCGCCATCGCCATCGAGAATCTCTGCTTTGAAAAAAAAGGATTTTGCTGAGGAGGAACCAACCGGGTGGACCTCACGGCTGCCGCCCCCCACCCCGGAAGTGATGCTTTCCCCCGAGAAAGTTCCTCAGACCCCGGTGGGCGGGAGGGTTTGCTTAGTCCTGAGAGGGGGCCGGAGCCACAGTCCCAGCTGTCCAGTCCAGGGTGTGTGTGGGGGGGAGGCGTTTGCCTCGCTCGTGGAGGACCCTGGTGGGTCCTCGGCCATCCCATAGGGGTCTCCCCCCCCCCCCCACCCCCGGCTTCGAGCCCTGCCGGGAGCGACATGGACGTAAAAAGTCCTGACACCTCCAGGAACGGTGCACAGACTGGAAAAAATAAATAAATAAAATAAAGGGGTGGGGGAGGGGGAGACAGAGAGACAGACAGACAGAGTACTGTGGGAAGTTGCCACAGCTTGGGTTCGTTCGACCTCCAGCTCCCAGGTAAGGTGACGCCCCCCCCAAGCCCCTCCTGAAGTGATTCCCTGAGGGGAGACAGGAGGGAGCCCCGAGCACCGCCAACGCCCCCCCCCCCCAAAAGGAGTAAAACGGAAACGTCAACGCCAGGGATGTGTCAGGGTCAGCGCGGGGTGGAGGCGTGGGGGTGGGGTGGGGGAGGTTCCCTGAGTCCGGCGGCCACAGACGCGCACACGGGGACGGGGACGAGGACGCAGGAGAGTCTGGGCCCCCACCCAGGCACGCCCGAGTCTCTGGGGTGAGAATGGAAGCCGGCTCCTGAGGGAAGCCTGTTCTGAAGGCTGTTCCCACAGCCCTGACAGGAAACGGTGTGTGTGGGGATGGGGGGAGGGGAGCGATAGCCGCAGCGGGGAGGGCGCTTGCCTGGCACACTGCCGACCCGAGTTCGATCCCCGCCATCCTATAAGTGCCGGGAGTCATTCCTGAGGGCAGAGCCAGGAATAACCCCTGACTGAGCATCGCTGGGTGTGGCCAGGAATAACAGCTAAAACTTAAAAAAAATTTTTTTAATTAAAAAAAAAAAGGAGAAAAGATTGTCCTCCCAATTTAAAAAGAAAATTTTAGTGGTGGACGGGTCTGGAGGAATAGTACATTTGCTTTGCGTGTGGTGGACCCAAGGTTCCCATGGGGTCCCCGAGCACTACCAAGAGTAAATTCCTAGGGGGCTGGAGCAATAGCACACATAGCACAGCGGGTAGGGAGTTTGCCTTGCACCCGGCTTACCCGGGTTCGATTCCCAGCATCCCATATGGTCCCCTGAGCACCGCCAGGGGTAATTCGTGAGAGCAGAGCCAGGAGTAACCCCTGTGCATTGCCGGGTGTGACTCAAAAAGCCAAAAAAAAAGAAAAAGAAAAAAAAAGTAATTCCTAGTGCAGAAGCCAGGAGGAGACCCTGAGCAGAAAAAAAAATCTTAATCGAGAGGTTTTTGAGGTAGAGAAGCTTCTGAGGGGGAGGGGTGTGTGCACACGTGACGAAGCTCACCAGAATTTCTCTCATATTGGGGGTTGGAGCTATAGAACAGCGGGGAGGGTGGCTTCTCTCCCACATGACTGAACCAAGTTTGATCCCCCACACGCCATATGGTCCCTGAGCCCCACGAGGAGTGATCCTAGCCCAGACCTCAGAGTAAGCCCTGAGTATGGCCACAAGCGACCTAAAAAAACAAAGCAAATAAATAGAAGCATCCTGGTAGGGAAACAGTGTCTCCAACAGTAAGTCAAATCCAAGCCGCTTGTCTATCAATTCTGTTCGTTGGTGTGGGAACTTCTCCTTGCACGTGGGCCCCCCTTTCTGTCTGCTCAGTCGGCCCTCCTCCTTTAATAGTGCGTCTTTGCACTATTAAGGGATGGGGAAACTTCATCTTACCTTGCAGTTTCTCATGGCGAGCTCCGAACAAGGCAGCCACCCCAGCAGCAGCAGACAGACACTCAAGTCTGTGGGGAAGTCGCAGGAGTTGGAGCAGAGGGTGGCCCGCCGCCGCCTGTCACAGGCGCGTCACCGTGCCACCCTGGCGGGGCTCTTTGGCCACCTCAGGAAGACTGTGTACTTCCACTCTGATCTCACCGCTTCCAAGGTAGGAGCTGGGGGGTCAAGAGACTGCACACATGAGGGTGTGTGGATGGAGAGTGGAGGAAGGGAGGGAGGAAGGAAGGAAGGAGGGAGGGAGGGAAGGAAGGAAGGAAGGAAGGAAGGAAGGAAGGAAGGAAGGAGGGAAGAAAGGGAGGGAAGGAAGAAGGGAAGAAAGGGAGGGAGGGAGGCAGGGAGAAGGAAAGGGAAAAAGGAGGGAGAGAAGGATGGAGGGAAGGAAGGTCAGATAAGGGAAAGGAAGAAAGAAAGAAAGAAAGAAAGAAAGAAAGAAAGAAAGGCAAAAGGAAAGGAAGAGAGGAAGGAAGGGAGGGAAGGAGAAGTTGAGGGGGAGGAGAAGGATGCAGACCAGGAAATCCAAAGTTTGAGTGGAAAGATAATTAGATGAATCTTTACTTCAGATCATCTACAGTCTTTTTTTTTTTTAGGTAACATGATTCCAACACTGTTAACATTTATGGTTTTGACTACAGAGTTAAGTGCCCAAGTCCCCCTACCGCATTATTTTGTTCACCTTTGTCTGCCTCTTCCTCACCCTCTCACGTACCGCTTGTCATCTCAGTTTTACAACCCAAGGCCAAGGTTTTATCACCATGCAATGCTGTCTATTCTCTTGTTTTGTTTCTCTATACCCCATAGATGATTGTGTTCTGCTCCCTCTGATTTATTTTACTCAATATGACTTAATTCTTTTTAATTTTTTTTTCTTTTTGGGCCACACCTGGCGATGCACAGGGGTTACTCCTGGCTCTGCACTCAGGAATTACCCCTGGCGGTGCTCGGGGGACCATATGGGATGCTGGGAATCGAACCTGGGTTGGCCACATGCAAAGCAAACGCCCTCCCCGCTGTGCTATCGCTCCAGCCCAATATGACTTAATTCACTTAGCATTTCACTCCTGTTCCATCTGCCTTGCAGTCAACCCCACGATTTCCACCTGGAGTCTTGAGGTCACAGGCGTCTAGCAATAAGGAGCATTATTTGGGGCTCAGGGAGATGGCACACGTGGCAAAGCACGGGCCTAGCATGTGAGAGGCCTGGGTTTCGTCTTGGAACCACAAACCCTGCCCCGCACCACTATTGATAACCCAGCAACACTGGTGTGACCCTGAGTGCATGTGTGTGCATGCACAGGTGAATGGTTAGGACAGAACATGTGTGCTAGCCTGCAGCTGCAATTTGTGCCATCCCAGCAGAGGCTGTTTGGGCCAGCAGTCCCTCAGATGCTCGCCCTCACTTCCACTGCTGAGGCAGGGGCTAGAGGTGGTTGGGTGTCTGCAAGGGGGTTTACTGGCCCCTGCTTTGGAATACCTGGGTACCTCAGTGAGACCTGTTTCCAGGCTGCAGAGTAACCCTCACACATCCATCGAGCCTCAGGACCAATGTCAGAGAGCCACTGAGTGTAGCGGAGAGGGGGTGTGGCCTCAGACTGGGGCAGGGCTTCCGGCTCCCCATCTCTGACCCCTGGCCTTGGCTGCTCAGAGCCCTCTGTCTCTGTCCTCAGTGGCAGGTTCTGAATAAGGCAAAGAACTACATCCAGGAACTGGAACAGACCTTGGATAATCTGCTGAAACTGAAAGGTAAAATGTCTTTATGTCCCCCCCCCCGCCCCCCCCCGCCCGCCAGGTGTGACCAAAAAGAAAAAAAAATGTGTGTAATAAATGTCTTTATGTTACACACACACACACACACACACACACACACACACACACACACACAGCCTGACTGGCCCCTGTGGGGGTCGGGAGGTGAGTTCTGTTTTTTCTACTGGAAACCGAGAACAGGGACCAGAATGATCGTGTACCAGGTAGGGCGCTGGCCTTGTATGTGGCCCACCCAGGTTCGATTCCTGGCACCACGTATAGTCCCCATCAGGAGTGATCCCTGAGCACAGAGTCAGGATTAAGTCCTGAGGACTGCCAGGGAAGAAAGAGCGAAAGAGGACGGAGGGAGGGGGTCAAGAGAAAATGATCAAATACTTGAAAGCACTTAAACACATATTTGAATGCTAGACCCCCTGTGGAGGCAGCAAAGACTGGCTGATGGCTCTGAGCGGTCAGAGAAGAGCCTTGTGGGTTTGAAATTCAGATGCAGAGGGCAGAATCTGATCCCCTCCACAGCACTCCGCAGGGGAGAGACAGCTGGCTGGGGTTCCTCATGCGAGGAGCCTGAGCCCCCAAAAGGATACCTAGGAGGTCTTGATTGGGAAGAGCCAGTTCCAGAATCTTCCCCGCACAAGGGAAGGCAGACGCCTCTGAACCTGGGCAAACTTGTGTGCCGCCCAGGCCTGATTCTCCTAATCCAGAAAGGCTGGCCTTTGACCTTGGTGACCTGTAACTCCAACTCTCGCACAGAATCTTACAACCTGAAGGATGGGAACGCGAGCAGCTTGGAAGAGGTCAAGGAGGAATACGCCCGCATGTACGCCGCAAACCCCAGGTAAGCAAGACCCACCTGTCTCGGGACGGGAGGCGGACTCAGCTGTTCTCAAACTCTTCCGCTAGGTGGCAGCAGCGCGCCAGAACCGTTGCCTGGTGCTGGGTCATCCTTTTATGTTTTATTCTTGCAGCCTGCCCTCTAATTATTATTAATTATTATTATTATTATTATTTTGCAGTCCAGCCCAATGCCTCACACGGGCTAGGCGCACTTTCTACCACTAAGTCTCTTCTCCAACCCTGCTGTTTTATTCTTGTAATCGGCAGTGTAAATCTATTCCAGTTACAAAAATAAACTATCCTTATAACAGAAAATGTCAAAAAAATGAAAGAAATTGGGGCTGGAGAGATAGCACAGCGGGTAGGGCGTTTGCCTTGCATGCGGCCAACCCGGGTTCGATTCCCAGCATCCCAGATGGTCCCCTGAGCACCGCCAGGAGTAATTCCTGAGTGCAGAGCCAGGAGTAACCCCTGTGCACTGCCAGGTGTGACCCAAAAAGAAAAAAAAATGAAAGAAATTGTCAGAAATGCAGAAACCCCTTACCCTCACCCCAAGCTGGGGAGACATCTCAAAGGGCTGGGCATGTGCCTGATGTTTGCAGAGGGCCAACTTGGCTTCAACCCCTAGCATGCATTGGGCCCCCCAAGCACTGCCAGGAGTGATGGCTAAGCACAGAGCCAGGAGCAAATCCTGCACAACCGTGAGGTGTAGCCCTCCCCCCAAAGTCACTGTCCTCCATAGAGACAGTTTGTATTGCTCACTCTGGTCACAGATGAGAGGATGTAGATATGATGTGTGGTGTAGCTGTTGTGCACACGTATGTGGCAGTGTGTTTGTTCTGTATGTATTGAGTCTACATGGCAGTGTTTTCTTGTGTATGTGTTGTTATACACATCAATGTGTGTATGGTGTGACATGACATTGTGTTTATATGTTATATATGTGTATACATGGCAGTGTTTGTATGTTGCACCTGTTAAGTCCGTGCATTGTTGTGTTCATGTTACACACACATGGAAGTGTGCATGTTGTATACAGATTGAGTGTACATGACAGTGTGTCAGCATGCTGTGTATGTGTACACATAGGGGCACGTTGTATGTTGTATGTATTGGGTACACATGGCAGTGTTTGCATGTTATGTACTTGGCAGTGCCTTGTGATGAGTACATGCTACGTGTTCGTGACAGTGTATGTATATTGAGTATACATGCAATGTATGTTTGTGCACATGGCATTGTATGTTTTATATGTGTTAAGTGTACATGATAGTGTCTTTAGAGTCCCATTTTGCCACCAAGACTGGGAGGCTGTGGTGTCAGTGAGGGAGGCAGGTGTTTGTGTGGGTCTTTCTCAAGTTACGAGTGACCTGTCCCCACCTGGGGCATGAGCCGTCCTTTCCTTCCTGACTTAAGACTCCAACTTCATTATCTAGGTTCAGTTCTGATAACAAGGATTTTTCTTGGGTTTTTTGGTTGGTTTTGGGGTACATCTGATGGTACTTGGGGCTTACTCCTGGCTCTGTGCTCAGGGATGACTCCTGGCCTGTTTGGGGCGATATGGATTGTCAGGGATAGAGCCTGGGTCAGCTGCGTGCAAGTGAAGTGCTCTACCCATTGTACTATCTCTCTGCCTCTGCTGTAATTTTTCTATTATAGTTTAGGTAAGATGGTTACAATAGTGTTAATGTTTATGATTGCTATTGTACCCCGTCACCCATGACCTCCGACACTGTCCTTATGTCACCTCTTGTCTGACCTTTACTCTCCTCCGTTCTTCCTCCTACTCTTTGTTAGTCAGTTTTGTCATACAAGACCAGGGATTTGTCATTGAACAATACTGTTTATTCCCTTGGGTTTTTTTTTTTTTTTGCTTTTTGAGTCACACCCAGCGATGTTCAGGGGTTCCTCCTGGCTCTGCACTCAGGAATTACTCCTGGTGGTTCTTGGGGGACCATATGGAATGCTGGGAATTGAACCTGGATTGGCCGCGTGCAAGGCAAATGCCCTACCCTCTGTGCTATCACTCCAGCCTCTATTCCCTTGTTTTGTCTCTATTTTCCACAAATAAACACAGGGATCATCTGTTATTTGTCCTCTCTGACTTATTTTGCTTAACATGGTATCCTCCAGTTCCATCCATGTTGCAGAGAGGGGCAGAATTTCATCTTCCCTTACAGTTGCATTGTATTCTATTGTATGTCTGTGTGAGATTTTTTTTAATCCCACTCGTCTATCATTGAACATTTGTGTTGCTTTTAAGTGCTGGCTATTGTACTAAGAGCTGCGATGGACATAAGTGTGCATGTACGTTTGCAAGTGAATGCACTTGTGTTTGGAGGGGTAGATGCCCAGAAGCCTGCGTGATTTGGAATGAAGTAACGAGAGAAGACATCATGCTGAGTTCCTGACTGAGAGGAGAAATGTCCAGTCTTTTATCTGGAAGTTTGAGGGTTTTTGCAGGTTTTTGCAGCTGCCTTTTGTCAAGCGGAAGAAGTTCCCTTGGATTCCTAGTTTGCTGTGAGATTTCATGTTGCCAAGAGCATTTCTGAATCTCTTGGGACAACCATTTGACTTTCCTTCTGTAAGCCACGGAACTGGTATGTAGCCTTGATGTGACTTTTTTTCAGTGGGATCCAGCCCTCCTGCAGTCTAGCTTAGGAAACCACGGTGCTCCTGGGGGGTGTGTGGAAGTTCAGGAAGGACATTAATCTGCCTCTGTTGTCTTGTTTCTGCTTTCTCCCCCAGCTTGATCTCAAATGAAGTTCTTCTGAAAGGCTCTGCTACCTGGTACACAGTCGAGGCAGTGGGGAAAGATGCCGGGGAGGAAGAGGAAGAGGAGGAAGAAGAGGAGGAAGAGGAGGAGGAAGAGGAAGAGGAGAAAGAGAAGAAAGTGGTAGTCTTAGAGAGCCAAGCCATGTCACCAGACCTCCTGGAATTTGAACGGTGTGAACAGCTTCAAGGCAGTGATTGTCATGGGGAGGGGGGAGCTACAGTCCAGCCCCCCAATCTCAGAAGCTCCCTAGAGGAGGGGCTGAGGATGAAGATAACGGGGGGGGGGGGCATGCATGGAAATCGGCTCGGAGCTACGTCCGTGGTGGACAGTGTTGACTCAGCCCAGGAGTTTACAGATGCACAAATCTCATTTGGGCATTATCACTGGTGGGAATGGCTGGTTAGCCTACACTGCCCGCTGGGCTCCTGCACAGCCCTGCTGGTCTCTGGGTGGGGGCTGGCCCGCTCACTCGGACACTGACTTTCAGGACTATCACAATGCAGTTCCCTCTCGTGTATGCACATTCAGAGACTGAGACCGTTAAGCAGCCATGCCCAGGAGTGAAAGCAGAGCCTGCCCCTTCGCCTCCTCTTAACTGTCTTCTTTTTTTCTTTCTTTCTTTTTTTTTAAAGTAAAGCCGGTTTTATTTGGAGGTCTGAAGGGAAAGAGGAAGAGTAAGTGGAAGAGAGTGAAAAGCATCATGCTCAAGAGAGAACCCGGGCTTCTCCAAGGGTGGAAAGAACCCCCCCCCCCCCCACACACACACACCCCAGCATTAGACATGAAAGCATGAAAGTACATATCTCAAGAGGGGAGATGTGGATGCCACATGTGCTCAGGCACCACATGTGCTCAGCCACGTGGGCGCAAGCAGCACATGGACTCAGACAGCGTATGCGCTCATAACCTTCTTTTGACCTCAAAACACCGAAACGCGTCATCCTTGGCCTCAGTGGTAGCTCCTGCCCTCCCAGGCCTACACAGGCACCAGTGAGGCTAAGTGAGCGCCATGGCCCGGCCCTGTGAGGGGCAGAGAGACCAAAGTCCTCGGGTGACAGCTGACAGAGGGACTGCAGCTGCCGACTTCAAGTCTGGGAGCTGGTGCCTTTTCCGTTCCAGATACCTCAACTTCTACAAGCAGACCATGGACCTGCTGACAAGAAGCGGGATTATCTCTCTCCAGGACACCATGCTGCCCCTGGTCTCTGCTGCCATCTCCCACCTGTGGCAGAACCTCTCTGAGGAGAGGAAGACGGCTCTCCTGCAGGCCTGGTCACAGAACACCAACCTCCAGGCGCCCTCTAAGCGCTATGCTGGGGGCAGCATCAATGACAGTGGACTTGACAGCCAGGGCGCCAGCTGCTCCCTCTTCTCCACCCCAGAGGAGGTGAGCAGACATGTGGAGTGGGGTTAGAATGACGCTTTCCTCTCCTCCCCCCTGGCCAGAGTCCCCAGGACTGGGGTTGAAGGCTGAGGCGCCCTCTCAGACCTGGCTTATGAGTTCTCTGACTTGACCTTGCCAACGTGGAACGACATTTCTCTTTCTCCTATTAGTTTCTGGACCTTTCTGTGGGGACCGTGGGAGAGGAGGCTTAGAAGATTCTGTCTGCTGGGATTCTTTGGGCGGCTTGTTCTTGTTACACAATGAAACAGTGAACTCAGAGGCAGGGTGGTCTCCGGGTTGGGTGGGTTTCAGTTAGTCCCTCAGTCCTGTCACCTCCCACTTGGGTTCTTCCTTCTCTTTCTGCTTGTTGCCTCTTCGGTCCCTGCACTCCCTGATTCTTTGTCTGAGGGGTGGCAGCTGGCAGCCAGGGAGCTCTGACTGCTTGTCCCTCACATCAGGAGAGGAAGATTTCCCGTGGCTCTTTCCCAAGGAGAAAGAATTTTTTCCAGAAATTTCCACTTAGTCAGAACTGGTTAGAGAAGTCAGTTTCCGAGTCAGGGACTGACACAATAGAGACAGACTCACATGTCGCTGAGCAGGCCCCGTTCTTGAGGAGGGGTCAGTTCTCAGCCCCAGGACCATCTTGCTTCTTTTGTGAAAAGGCAGGGGAATGGTGGGGTCTACACCAGCAGGAGAAAACCCACTTCCGCCGTCAACATGCTCCTCAGAGCTCAGGTGCTTAGAGCATCTGAGACGGGTAATGCGGGTCATCCAGAATGGCGACAGCCTCAGGAGGTGGCAGGCGCCACAGGGCATAGCTGCCCCTGCATCCTCAGCCCAGGGCAGGTGTTCTTGGCCTTTCAGAGCTTCCCTGGAGTTCAGAGACCTTGGTTATCCATGGCCACTACTCTGGAAATGCCACCCCTTGCTCTGCCCTGATTTTTTTTCTGGGAAAGTTGGACTGTTGGTTGGCAGTTGTTCCAGGTGGGCAAGAACTTATTCTTCATCCATGGGGAAGCTGTGGGTTCGGGTTCCAGCTTTAAGATGCCAGAGCTTTGGAGAAAAGTGGGGGTGAGCCAGCCCTTCCCTGGAGCGCTCCTGCCACAGCCTCGGGCAAGCTGCTAACCGCCTGCCGGCTGGTCCCTCGCCAACTCCTCTGCTTCTCTCAGATGCTCTTTGAAGATGCTTTTGATGTGACACATCTCCTGGATGAAACTGAGGCTCCCAGTCCATTGACCCCCAGGTGAGGAAGAGGGTGAGACGTGTGAGCGTGTGTGAGGCTAGATGTGTGTCCAAGTGTGTAAGTGTGTGGCGAGGGTTACGTGTGAGTGGACGTGTGTATTAATATGAGTCTATGTGGGTGTGACTATGACTGTGTTATGGGGGCATGTATGTGTGTGAATGTGAGTGGGTGGACGTATGAGTATGTTTGCGCAGGGGTGTTGGTATGTGTATGATGGTGTGTGCGTGCGGGTGGAAGCGTGCCCCAGTGTGTATGGGTGGGAGTGCATATGAGTGTCCATCTATGTGTGCATAGTGTATATGAATATAAGGGTGTGGATATGAGTCTGTGAAATGTACATGTATATAGAGCGCGTATGTGTGTGAATATGAGCCTGTGTGAATGTGTGTATGTGAACGAACATGCGTGAATGAGTCTGTGTGTGAGTAACTGTGTGTGAATGTGAGTGTGTATGCGAATGCAGATGTTTGTGACCATGAATCTGTGAATGAGCGTGTGAATATGAGTGTGTGCATATGAAGATGAGTGTGATAACTCTGTGATTTGGCAGGAACATGAGTGTATGAGTGTGTGTGTGTATGCCCTCGCTGGGATGTTGGGACCCTCTCCCCGCGGTCCCTCGGAGGACATTCTGAGTGATCTTCTCTCTAGGACTCTCGTGGACTGGGCCCGGAACTGTGTCCTGGTCGTGGGGGGGTGATTTGTCTGGTTTTTTTCGGAGTAGGGAACTCCCCACATCCAGACTCAAGACAGAGATGGTCCAGGTTATCCTTGCTGCCCTGTTTCCCAGGCCGAGGTGACCGTGGGAAGGGCACAGTGGTCAGTCCAGGAGGCGGGCACGACAACAGGCCTCTCTGAGCTGTGACATTAGAGACAGCTGCTGCTTAGTGCGCCGAGGAGCCTGGCTGAGCCCCCAAGAAGGGAACATGAAGCAGGACCTGGGGGCATGTTTTTTTTTTTGCTTTTTGGGTCACACCCAGCAATGCACAGGGGTTACTCCTGGTACTCCTGGCTCTGCACTCAGGAATTATGCCTGGTGGTGGTCAGGAGACCATATGGGATGCTGGGAATTGAACCCGGGTCGGCCGCATGCAAGGCAAACGCCCTACCCGCTGTGCTATAGCTCCAGTCCCAGGACCTGGGGGCATGATAAGACAAAAAGCAGGTGCCCTCAATCTGCCCCTTGTGAGGCTGAAATCCTGCTCAGGCTGAAAAGCCCTGGCCTTACCTGAGGGCCCAGCCTGGAGTCCCAAGGCTCTGTCTGACCACAGAGCCATTGTCGTGGGAGTGAGGGGGACACTGACCCCAGTGATGGTCATGGACATGCCCTGGGAGGACCGAGCCACGAGGAGATGCCCGTCCGCCCCAGAGTGACTGCATGTGGGGGATCCCCTATTTTGCTGAAAAGGGCAGGCTTTAGGCTGCAAACACGTGGGTGAAGAATTGCTGAAGTACAGCCTAGCAAAGGTAGGGTTGCACTCAGTGGGGCCTAAGCTCCTGGCATGCTCATTCCAGAAAGCAGTGAGGTCAAATCACTGCCCAGATGCGCCTTTTCCTTGGGCCCAGTCCTGGGGTCAGCAAACAGGTCCTTCTGTGCGGTGCCCCAGGGCTGTGCTGGGTAACCCAGCAGAGGGGGCCCTCTGGGACGGGGTGCAGGGGTGCCGCCCGCTCCCGGCTCTGCTCTAGTAACCAAATCTTAAAGAAGGGCTCCAGGCACCCTGGCGGATGGAGGATTGGGGCTTGGGAGCCCACTCGCTATTTTGCAAGTGCTGGGTTGGCACTGTCACTTTAGGGGTCCCCGGCAGCCGTGGAAGGCAGAGATGTTTAATACCTGCCATTCCTTCTTGCTGGGCAGTTGGCAGCTTGCCGGGGGCGAAGCCAGCACTCTGGAGGAGAAGTTTCAGCTCTACAAGCGGATCGTCGATTTCTTCAAAGGCCTTTGCTGTATTAACACTGTTATCAAGGAGGTAGGGGTGGGGGCAGGGCAGCCTTAGATACCCCCCCACACAGAGAGCCCAGCGGGCTCAGTAGTCGGGGGGGGGGGCTCCGGAGCTCACTGGGGGTGCATCTCCACTGTGATGCTGCGTGACTGCAGCTGGAGAGATGTGGGGTAGAGAGAGGACAGGGCCCCCAGAGATGGGGGGGTTGTTCCATCTGCCCGGGGCATTGCCATCACTAACGGAATGCTCTTCCACACTGTGTTTTGCAGGAGGAAACAGAACTTCCTGCTAATAATGAGATTATGCTGAGGTGCCTAGAGACCTTTGACGATGAGGATCTGTAACGCAGGAGGGCTCGAATGAACGAGGATGAACGTTTCTCTCCAGTATGAATGTGGACCGTTTCTCCAGTTTGAACGTTGATAGTTAAAGTTGTATTTGCCCCAGCTTCTGAGTTGTTTTCTTGTGTGTTCCAGAAGCGTGTTGATGGTTTTTTTTTTTTGTTTCTGAGTTTTATAAAGTTCTTATGAGCATCAAGATCTTGTGATAGTCTTTCTTTTGGGGGGGGGTGGTGTCCACTGAGTTATTAGAACTGGCTTACCCTCGCAGCTGTTATTCTGGGGTACCATATGCAGCTGAGGCTTCAGCCACAGCCCACAAGAAGACAGGCAGGGTCTGTCCCCCGAGGGACCACGACACTGGCACCTTCAGCACATGCTGGCTTTAAGGATTGTTCTGGAAGCTTCTGGAAAGCTCATTCTGCATGATCGGGGAGGCCAGAAATGAGGCTAACCTCAAGCCTGTGCTCTGGGTCAGCAGGGCAGAAGTAACCAAATTCACTTTTTCTGCTAATAAGGTCTCCTGGGTGGGGTCCGAGCCAGACCCACAGAGTCCTGCGCATTTCCTGCACAGGTGTGAAATGTCCCATGGTCAATTTTACATGTCAACTTAGACTAGGCCACAGTCCCTGTGTGTTTGGTCAGAAGTTATTCCAGGTGTTTCTAGCAAAGTATATTTCGGGTGAGATTAACACTTAAATCCATAGGATTTTTGGTTGTTCTCTTTTGAACTACATTTGGACATGGTGGGGTGGGGGTTCATCCTGGCTTTGAGGGAAGCAGATTATCCTAGGTAGTGTGGCTGGGCCTCATCCAATCAGCCAGGCACGAAAAGACCTGATAGCCCCTGAAGAGGGGGAATCTATAGGCTGCCTTAAGGTTTGAACGGCAACTCTTCCCAGCATGGCCACCTACTCTATAGGTCTGGACCTGTAAGTCTCCACTATCATTCAACATACACAGAGATAGTGATAGAGACAACAGATTTCCTAGTGGTATCAAGATACAGATAAATGCGTATAGATAATAGTGGAAAGGAAGGCGTATGTAGATAAACATACAGATAGAGATAAGGGTATATAGACATATGAAGACAAAGATGTAGTTTGGTTTACGGGTCACACTTGGTGGTATTCAGGGTCTGCTCCCGGCTCAGGGATCAGTGGTTGCTCTCGCGGTGCCTGAGGGAGCCCATGATAGGGGGGATTGACTCTCCTGCAAGTCAGGCATGTGCACTGCAGCCCTTCGAGACGTCTACCCAGCTCCATACTGACCTTGCTCTTGACTAAGAACTCTGGGCTCTGCCAGAGTTAAATCCAGTTCCTAGATTTGCAGCAGATTTCATGTGGACTCTGGTCACTTTGCACCAATCATTTCACCCATTCACAAAATCATACCTACTTTTCTTTTCTTTTCTTTTCTTTTCTTTTCTTTCCTTTCCTTTTCTCTTCTTTTCTTTTCTTTTTCTTTTTGGGTCACACCCAGTGATCAGGTGTTCCTCCTGGCTCTGCATTCAGGAATTACTCCTGGCGGTGCTTGGGGAACCACATGGGATCCTGGGAATTGAACCCGGGTCAGCCATGTGCAAGGCAAACGCCTTCCTTGCTGTACTCTCACTCCAGCCACAGACCTATTTTCTAAAGTCAAAGAAATCACAGCTTGAGTGATGATGACACAGAACCCTACAGGACAGCAAGGATGTGAGGATGCAAGAGAAGGAGAGGAGATTTCTGTAGAAAAGTCCTAGTGACAGGGGGTTGGGCTCACTGCACTTGGGAAGGAGACAATTCTAAGGAAGAGCCCCGAGGGGCTGTTCACTGGGTCATGGGGGAAATGCCGAGAGTTGTGGGTACCCAGACAAGTCTCGTTGGCCTGCAATTCCAAAGATTTCTCAGTCAGCCAGGAAACTGGGAATCAGGATGAGGACGCAGGAGACAGAATTTCTGAAAACAGGAGACAGAGCAAACATACTTGGAAAAGGCAGCTGGACTGCCAGGTGGCACTGAGAACCTTGGCGTAGCGGCTAAGTATCCAGGAATATGGGCCACTTCTTGAGGGTCAGACCACGTTTCTCCTCCGGAATTTCCAGAGCAACGTAACCGCTGATATGACCTGCTTTGACCTGTGTGAGGCTCTTTCCAGACAGGACTGCAAGACAACACATTGTGTGTTTTCATTGTGTGGGGGGGGAGTTTGTTGCAACAACCCTAGGACCTAAATATAGGCAAGCCAAGAGACCAGTTCATCAGTACTCAGGAACAGTTATCATGAGTGACCACGCTAGGGGCTGGAGGCATAGTACAGCGGGTAGGGCGTTTGTCTTGCGCATGGCTGATCTGGGTTCAATCCCCGTCATCCCATATCGTCTCCAAGCACTGCCAGGAGTAATTCCTGAGTGTAGACCCAGGAGTAACCTCTAAGCATCACTGGGTATGACCCAAAAAAGAAAAAAAAAAAGAGTGTGGTATAACATTTGTTTATCCTTTCTGCCTTGCCACAGAGAGCTTAGGTTTATTGGGTTACTCCCATCACAGTGCTCCCATTCCTCTGTGTTTATTTGTAACTTCTTTCTTTGTGCTCTGTGAACTTGTAGATATTGTTTTTCTCTTCTCCTTAAGTTCTTTTCATAGTTAATTCAGAGCACTGTCCTTTTTGTATGGACACAAGAAGACAGTCAATGCTTTGCTTTTGCAACGTGGGAGTTAACTGACTCTGATATTTACCTCCTGGACATCTGTTCTCTCGACTTAAGCCTCAGCTGCCCTTACTTCCTAGCACCCCAAAAGCAGGGTCCTGACGAGGGACTGGATGGACCCAGGGCAAGCTGTGAGCGATGTGACCACACTAAAAAAGGGTAAATTGATAAATGGGTCATTCTGAGGATTCGAACTGCGGTTGGCCACACACAAGGCAAGTGCCTTAACCCCTGCACTATCTCTCCATGCCCAGAAATGGGTCATTCTGAAACCAGCACCTAACAGAGCTTATATTAAACTCCCCTGCACATGTGAGCTTGGAACTGCACATACTAGAGGTCACCGGCCTCTTCCCTGTCTCTCTCTCACATGGGCTGGAGTCACCACCACACAAAACAAAGGAAAACTTAGGTCTAACGGAGTTATCTGTGCATTTCTACCAGCAATTCTGGAGTCTCCAGACTCATTGCTTAAGAAATCCGCTAATTTTGTTTTTCTCCATGGAGAAACACTCATTCCTCCCAAGGAGCGTCCCAAAGGCCAGTCTGTGGCCGCCTCCTGCCCACCAGCCCACCCTCCCAGCATGCAGACATTGAACCAGTGGCTTGAAATGTGGCTTTAATGGAGGAAAGGAAGAAAGCACCGAGAGGGACCATTGTCACCCCATGTCTCTCCATCCGGCTCTAGCTGCTCCGAGGCACCATGGTTGGTTCTTATTTGGGAGGATTGTGTTGGTTTCAGGTCCACATTTGTTGTCTTTACAGAGAAAGCTGCCCACCACCACCCCCTTCCACTTCTAATCTTTAATATACATAAACTTGTCTCTCTCCCAGTACACACACACACACACACACACACACACGCACACACACACACACACCACCCTTTCACACTCATTCTGATGGGTGATTGGGGAGCCACAGACTTGGAAAATAGTCCAGGGCTCACACCCCACTACCCCATGCCATGATGAGATGAAAGAATACGGGGGTAGAAAGCGGGCGCATCTCTGCTGAAAAGGACCCTGCAGCAATATTGGATGTTCCCCCAAAACCCACAGAAAACGTTCTTCTCTTTCTCCTCAGAGCTGAGAAAGTGGATTTGGCCAAGTAAGTAGAGGTCTTATGAGGTGAGAAACATACATGGACAGAACATGAAAACAGTTTTCGTTGTCAGGCTACACACAGTAAGCTCAGGGCTTACTCCTGGCTCTGGGCTCAGGGTTCACTTTTGGGAGTTCTCGGGGTAGGGGATGCCTGTGTGGTGTTGGGGATGGAACCCGGGTCAGCCACACAGAAGGCAAATGCCTTTATCCCTGCACTATCTCTGTGGTTCCTAGAAGGGGAATTTTTAATACTAGCCTATCCTAAGTCCCATCTAGAATTCATGGCATGAGCCCGGGGGGTCCTGGGGAAATAGAAGTTTCTGGAACTGCCCAGGCATCAGGGCTGATCTCAGCTTCTAACACCTCTGGGAGACAGTGGCTCCTGGACCTACCCTCCCTGACCTGGGATGGGGGGTTCAGGGGTCCTACTTCCACATACCCCCTCTCCCCCATCCCCCCCCCCCCAGTCTGGGTGTCCAGGCTGTGTCTTCACTCCTGGAAGGGAGGCTGAGAAACAGAGGGATGGCCACGGGGTCATGGGGGAAAGGCGACAGCAGTAAAGGAGCAAATCACTGGGGGTCCAGCCTTTGGAGGCTTTGGGGTGGGTTCCGGTCATGGGGCCCAGCTCAGAGGTGGAGCAGGAGAAACATGGGGGTCAGGGATCCCCACTTCTTCAATGAAGGAAGGACGTTCCTGCCGCCTCTGGCCACCCCTGGCCCTCACTGTCTCTCCACCCTGTCCCACCCAAAGCATGTGGACCCAGTTGGTACCCTGGGGGGGGGGGGGTGAGTCTACTTGTGCCCTGGACGGTAGAGGAGGCGGAAGGGTCCACAGTGGGCTCAGGGTCGGGTGGACCAGAGGGAGTGGGGTGATCAGCACCCCACACACTCCCTGTGACCCCACCACCACCCCAGCCTGGTGAGTGGGGCGCCCAGAGCCCAGGCCAGAGGCTGCTCCCCACCCCCAGCTCATATCATGGTTTGGTGGGTGCCCTGGGGGCGCTCTCCCGAGCCCAGCTGGGAGCAGAGGTCCAGCCGGCTCACCCCCACCTCCCCCCTCGCGCCGGAAGTCCCCAGCCGGGGCCAGAAGGGCAGCCAGCGTGTGCACGAGCTGCGGGCGCAGGTCGAGGTGCCGATCCCGCAAGGGAAGCCGTAGACCTCGGCGGCCCGGCTGTTCTCCTCGGGCCCCTCCTGTAGCTGGCTCCA